CACACACAAACACACACACACACACACACACACACACACACACACACACACGCACGCACACACGCGCACACACACAATCCAGCCCACCTCACCCCACCTCATCCCGCCCACCCCGCCCCATCCAACACAGCCCCAGCGCGCGCGACTGCACGCGCCCAGCAGGGAGCCCCATCGAAAGCGGTATTCGCGATCGCAGATAGTCGGATCCTTCGCTGTGATCTCTTCTGTTTTGCGGAGCGCGGTTGCGCGTTGCGGAGCGCGGTTGCGTGTTTTAGGGCGGCCTGCATGGCCTGCGGGCGCCGTGTCCCGCAGCGGCAGCGCCTCGCGTGCCGTCCGCGCAGCGGATGGGCGCCGCACCCGCCCCCGGCGGGCGGCCGGCGGCCTGCTGCCCTTGGACGCCCCGCGCTCCGAGGGCCGCGAGGCGGCGTGGCGGGCGGCGGTGCGGCGGCGCTCGCTGGAGCGCCCGTCGTCGCGCGCGCATGCCGAAGTCCTTCAAAAGCCCTCGGTTTCGGAAGGATTTCAAAATCGAGTGTCAAAAAACATGTAAACAACAACCCCAAGGTTTCGCAACACGGATGTTCAAAAAAAAAGCGCGCGCTCTTGCGTGTTTTTTTTGGGAAACTCTTGGTCACCAGTTTCCCCAAAAAACAAACTACCAAACGGGCGCGCCCGATTTAAGTATTACTTGGTTGCGCGACGGTTGCCTTGGGCGCAGCCGCTGTCCCGCGTTCTCGCCGGGCGCACTGTTTCGTCTTCCCTGGTCCTCCTCCTGTCCATTCTGGCTCCTCCGCGCTCTGTTGGTCACCCGTTCTCGCCGCTGGGCACCCTCTGGATGGTCAGAAAAAGTGTGCAGGCAGATGTTCCGCCAGAGTCCCTCTCTTCTCCAGGGCGCAGTAAAGGACCGAGCGAGGCATTTGGGTGGAGAGTTGATCCGAAGGGCTTAGTCGACCCCTCCTCCTCCTCCTCCTCCTCCTCCTCCTCCTCCTCCTCCTCCATCTCCTCCTCCCCCTCCCCCTCTTCCACCTCCTCCTCCTCCTCCCCCTCCTCTGGTCGCCTACGGCCCAGGGGGAAACCGTGCACACCTGGGGCCCGATCTTCGGGTGAGCGACGCAGCATAACGGCGTCGTTTGCGCCGACATTCGCGCGCAAGCCGACGTAAGGTCGCGCGTCAGCGCCCTCGCTTCCAATGTAGCGAGCCGCGCTGGCGGCCCGCGCACACTGCGGCGTAAGGTCGCTACGGCATCTCGCGTAAGCCTACCCATCGGTCGTTGAAAGTAACTGTTAGGACTCCAGGTTCCAATCTACTTTAAGCGTCTTCCTACTTCAATGATCGAGTGGCTTCACCTTCTCCGTCCTCCTTCGGGGGCGGACGGAACCCAATCTATTTTCAACGCCTTCCTACTTCATGCTTCTACCTTGTTGTTCCGACCGATGGGTATTTCTTTTCGTCGCCCAGGTGACGGTTTCTGCAAGAGCTGAAATTTCCAGCGGGGGTCGTGTTGCAAAGTTTGGGCCCTGGGCAGGGCTTGGAGTCTGGGCGTCCCGAAACGGTGGCAACGTAGCCTCTCCAAGCGCTGGAATGTTGGAAGCTGGTTCCCTCTTCTGTGGAGTTGCCCACTCGGCGAGCTAGGCTTCGCCGGGCTTCTCCTGGCGCGGAATGCCCATCCAGTGGTACACCCGAAGGCTTGTGCGCACTGTTTGCGGCGTTTCCGATCGAGGATATGGCGTCGCAAGTACATTCTGGCCGGCCCACGGCACATGCTTCGTTTCGGACGCAGCAAGTTGCCCCCGACTTGGGCCGTGTGTCTGTGCCTTCGCCGCATGAAGGAATTCGCCGGCCCAACGGGCCAGGGCGTGCTAAGATCTCCGGTAACTGGTTAACAGTATTAACAGTATTTCTAGTTCGCGCGCGCGGGGCGGCCCCTGGGGGTCCCCCGGCGAAAAGTACCCCGACCAACGCCCGGTCGCCGCCCGACCAAGTCTACTCAGAGATGGTTTTCCTTCTGGGTGCGGCCTCTCAGGCTCCCCAGAGCGCGCTCAGAGTGCCCCAAGAGGCCCCCAAGACTGCCCAAGAGGCCCCCGAGACGCCCAAAGAGCGCTCGAAGACGCCGAAGATGACCCCAAGACGGCCCAAAAGGCCCCCAAGACAGCCCAAGAGGCCTCCAAGACGCCCCAAGAGCCTTCCAAGAGGCCTCCGAAGAGAGCCCCAAGAGGCCAAAATCGTTGATTTTCATTGGTTTTTTCTATGTTTTTTGTGTTCTGGCTTTTTCGGCTTCCGGACGCTCCAAGACGGCCCAAGAGGCCCCCAAGACCGCTCCAAGACGGCCCACGAAGCTCCCAAGACGGCGCCGAAACGACCCAAGAGAGCCCTCAAGACGGCCCAAGTGCCGCCCAAGACGGACCAAGAGGCCCCAAGACGGGCCCAAGAGGGACTCAGGAGGGATACCGAGAACTCAAAAATGGAGCCCTCCGTCCCAGAAGGCGCCCAGGAGGTCCCAAAGAGGCCCCAAGAGGCCTCCAAGAGGCCCCAAGATGTCGCCAAGAGGCCCCAGGAGACTCCCAGGAGGCCCAAAAGAAGCCCCAGAAGGCTTCAAACATGTCTCCCAGGCGCCCCCGAACGGCCTCTCAACAGACCCCAAGAGGCCCCCCAAAGAAGCATCTTGACGACGACTCTATTTCGCCCCATCGAGAGACGACCCCCAGGGAACTGCTTCACCATCAAAACTCCCCACGCAACGCGTCCGAACGACACCCGCCCCCAAGAGCGCAACATGGGCAACGAACACACAGACAAAAACCAGCGATGCCATATCACGGGCCGGCGGAATGAGCGAAGCGATTCAATAAGGTCTGTTGCAGAGGACTTTGTGGTGCTAGCGATTCTTGGGGCTTCTGGGGACTTTCGGAATGTTGGGGTTTCGGAGATTCATAGTCCGGCCTTTTCGGTAAGTATTCCTCCTCTTGGGTATGTAGCTCCAGAGGGGCCCCCATCTGAGGGCGAAGCTCACGTCGCTGAAACGCGCGCCTACAGATGCCCGAGGAACCTCGACGGGGAACCCTGCCAGAGCGCCTTCACTACACGGTAGAAGTTACTAGAACATACGCGTCTTTGCCATCACCTTAATAGCTTGACGCACGTTCTTACACCGTTTTATGTACGCAGCTGCAGTCCACAAACTGTTTCGACGCATGTCGCTGCTGGAGGCATGCATTTCGAACAGCACACAAAGGGAATTACACCACGTATGTTCCCCGTGCATTCACTTCAGCCTCATGACCAGATCATCATGTACCCGCGCTGTGAGTATGTGGGGGATTATGCTATATCGCTTTGTCGCCATGTCCGAAGCCATCTCTCTGCCCGGATCGCCCGTTTTCATGTCAACCCGTACCGTGACAGATGCCAGACGGTATACCTTTGCGGTGCCAAGTTGTTCTCTCTCTCTCTCTCGTGCTGATCGGCGCAGCGCTACAAAAGACGATGCCGTAAGTTCAATAGCCACCGCGCCCGACGCCAAGAAGGGCAAGGAGGAGTCGAGCGGAGCAGGCGGCCTCAAAGTCAGGGGCGACCAGACCACATTGGCGATATATACACGCTCATTTGCGGCGCATGTTGCCCGCGGGAGCGTTTCGGGTCGCGGCCGCCCTCGCCAGGGGAGCAGTGCCACGCGCTGGGCAAAGAGATACGCAAGCGCGCCGACGCTGGCGAAAAGGTGGGTCACAAAGATCGCGGCCCTCCACATCCAATAGTATGCAGGGCGGTGTTCGAGTACGGCGCTACCAAGACGGCGGCAGCAGATCGGGGCGCATCGGCGAGAGAGCTACAGCAGGGAATCGCAGGGAGAAAACGAGATATTACTGGGGCGCGAAGCTGGCGAAGGCCAGCAGAATTGAAAGCCAGCAACAGATGTTCACATCTCTGTTTCGCCTGGACCTCCACAACCAGATGGGGTCTGTCGTTGGCCCGATGATCGAGACTTCGGTGGTGGTGGAGGGGGCCCTTTCCTTTCGTGCGCGGCCCCGCGCGGGCCCCTGGAGAGAGAGAGAGAGAGAGAGATCTCGAAGTTTCTCGACCGCGAAGCGACAGGGTGGACAGGCTGTGCAGGCGTGAATGGATGAGCGGTAGCCCGTGGTTAGCAGAGCTGGTCGCAGTATGTAACACTTCTCAGGACCGTGTGGACAGGGCTATGGAGAGGCCCGCCGCTGATCTTCCAGAGGGGTTTGCGATGATTGCTGCGGCACATGCTCCTATGATTAATTCGCCTTCGAGTCGTGGCCGGGGAGGTCGACGCTCCGGGACGGGGATGCGGGGGGTGAGATCTGGTGGACGGGGGGCGGGAAGGGGTCATCGGGTCTGAAGTATGACCCTCTTTCTGCGGGTCGCGCGCCCGTAGTGGCGCCACTCGGCCAGAGCAGTTTGCGCTGTGAGTCTTGGGAGGGCTTGCGTCGTAAGTTCTGCGGCTTCGAAGGAACCCCCTTTGAATACAGTTCCGTTTTTTCGGGCTCGCCGTCTTCGGTAATTTGAGCAGGGGATCCATGAGGTTCTGTGTTGCTCTCCTCCTCCTCCTCCTCCTCCTCCTCCTCCTCCTCGTCCAGTGCACACATCCACCCATGTTAGGTGCGCATCGCATGATGAGGTCATTCTGGAGATCGGGGCCATCTGCGATACCCTAGCAGCCGCACAGACGTGGTGCGAGCGCACCTCGCTTGCCCTGTTCCCCATCTCTTCCCTCTCCCCGTCGCACCCCCCCTCCCCGCCACGCCTATAATCATAACCCCCCTCTCCTCCTCGCCTTTTCCCCCCTTCCCACAGGCGGGGAAGCGCAGACCGCGAGTTCGCCAGAATTCGGGCTTGCCGATTTTTTTGGTTGCACGGGCCCGTCTTGGGTTTGTGTGCCCACTCTTCGTGGGTCGATGGCAGCGGGAGCTCGCGTCAAAATCCAGCCGAGTCCCCCGAGCCCGAGTCCCACGCTTCCCCCCGCAGTTGCGCGCGCTGCCAGGCCGCGTGGCTGCAAGCGCCTCGGCCCGACAGCCCGCGCCTGGGCAGCTTCGCCCCTGGGCGCGTGCTGACGGAGCTGCAGGCGGGATGGTGGGGAGGGGCACCGGGGGTCACGCCGCCGCAGGCGAGTTGAGGAGGAAGAGAAGGGCAGGGAAGGCATAGGAGAGGGAGGAGGAGGAGGAGGAGGAGGAGGAGGAGGAAGAGGAGGAGGAGGAAGAGGAGGAGGAGGAGCAGGAGGAGAAGGAGGAGGAGAAGGAGGAGGGGGAGGAGGAGGAGGAGGCAGAGGGGGAGGAGGAGGAGGAGGAGGAGGAGGAGGAGGAGGAGGAGGAGGAGGAGGAGGACGAGGAGAGGAGAAGGAGGAGGAGGAGGAGAACAGGGAGGAAGGGAATGCAAAGAGGGCAGGGAGGGAGGGAGGGAGGGAGGGGAGGCGAGGGAGCTAGCTGGAATTGCGTGCTAGCGGGCCTTGTCCTAGCGAATGAATCAGGTGGGCCTGTTGGGAGCGCTCTTGGGACGGCCCTGCGACCCCACGTCCTTGGCACCCTGGGGCCAAAGCTGACAAGGCTTGGAAGAGGACCGCGAGCAGGAACTCCGCCCCCCTATGCCCCTCCAAAGGTGTAGCAGCCTCCTGGCCAGGCTGGCCGGCTCCTGGGTCATCCGTGCGTCTGAACTCGCGTAATTAGCGCTCTTTCATATAAGTTCTCTCGGGTGCGGGTCTCCAGGATAGCTTTGGGAGGCCCCTCGCGACGGGGAAACGAACCTATGGCGAACCGAGCGAGGTTGTCCGAACCTGTTGGGCGTCCGCGACCGACACTGACCAGCAAGACTCCTGGGGTCGGCGGAGGCGTACAGCCTACAATCTGCACAAACATGCAACAACACTTTGTCAACACATTGAAGCTTGTAGGAGGGATGCATGCGCTCGGTGAGTCCGCGGCCTGTGGCGGCTGGCGCAACTCTGCCCCTCCCACCGCAGGTCCCCCAGGCTCGATTCGATGCCAGCTGGGGGGGCCATAACATGGCGTGGCGGCAAATTCTCTGACTTTCTATTTCGGCTGGACCTGCTGACAAGCCGTGCACCACCAGGGCCGATCCCCGCACGCTTCAAGCAACTGGGCCGAGCTCTGAATGGCCGTCAGATGTCCTGGGCTCGGGGTCAGACGGAGCCTGTCTTTCAGCCCTCGTCTTCTCCCAAGCCTGTGCTGCTTCTGCCACCGCACGGCGCGCCCGACGCCGTACCCAGGCTGCCGTGATGTCTACTAGGTCTGAGTCTGGACTCCGACCCGCCATTCCGTCCCAAGCCCGCTCCGCCGCCTCCCGCGCCCAAATGTCCCCACAGGCGCTGCCAAACGTGACAGACTGAGTTCCCTGGTGTCGAGCGGGGTCACACTCTCGTACAGGTGAGACAGGAACCACTGGACCTGGAAGGGTTGGCGCACTTCCTCTGGGCCGCTCGGGCCCTGGCGCAGAGATCTTCATTCACTCCTGTCTGGTCCTGGTCTCGGGAATACAGCGAGCGGCTTGAATAAGGAACGTTTACGTTTCAAAAAGGGTTCGGTCGTTCCTCAGGCTTGCATGCGTAATATTACGCGTTGTGCATGATATGTCTCGTTCCTTATGCGTTACTCCTTGGGAAAAGAGGGGCGTCGTTCCTTATTCATCGTTCCTTAGGTCAGGGCGATGGTTGTATTCTAAGCCACTTTTTGGCCAGATCCCAATGATCCGTGGCAGACGTGAATTCTGAATCCGCAGTTGGCGCTAGCTTGCCATCGCTCGGACGTGTGCAGTTTTGTCCGCGGGGGCCATCGAGGAGCATCTTCAGTCATTTTGTCTTGAAAAATGTGGTAAGCGAAGCCGAGAGAGACGCCGACGACTACGACGATTTTAACTAGGCGTTTCCTCCTTCTTTCCTCCTCCCTCTCCTTGTCCTCCTCTTTCTCGTTCTTATCCTCTGAACACCTGTCAGGGGAATCTACCCGTGAAGACGATAATGCCAAGGAAACTCTGACAAAGTATGCCAAGGAAGCTCGAACAATGCAAAAGCACTGGAACAGCTAAAGCAGCGGAGCTCGAGTCAGGAGCCTCGAACTTCGACCCTGTTGCCTCGGCCAACCGAGTTGCCCGTTCGGCAGCGAGAGCCCTTTTACTCCTTCCACTTCCGTCCTCCTCCTCCTCCTCCTCCTCCTGTTCCTCCCTCTTCCTCCACTTTCTCCTCTTAGTCCTGCTTCTTTCCCTTCGCCATCCCTCCCCAGTTACGAGCTCCCCTTCACCACCTCCTACTCCAGCTCCACCTCCTCCACTTCCTCTCGCAATCTGAGCCCTGCGGGATGCTCGAGCCAGCGTTCCGCCTGAGAACTCTTTACGACTTGCTTTGGGCGCAGGCGAGCTTGCCCACCGAAGCAGGCAAATCGATTGAGACATCCTCGCAATCTGGGACCCTTGGGGTGCTGGCACTAGCGCCCTGCTTGCGGCATCCTCAGCAGATGTTCAAAACGCAAACGAAACTGGCTACGAATTTAGTAAACCACGTGATGTTGTATCGCGATCTGGGGTCCTCGGGGCATTGAAACCAGCGCCTCGCCAGAGACATCCTGTTGCCTATTCCCTGTTTTTCTCAGCTGTCAAGCTCATGTATCTTTCGCCCACGGATGGACAAGATCCGCTAGGCCTGCCGCCGATCGAGGCCGTCCGCACTTGGCATCGGGCCGATGAGACAGGCGATCGTTTACACGGCCAAAGAACACTTGCCGCCAGCATTTCGCATCGGGCGGCAGCCAAGGCCGGCTTCCGCAACGCCAACGCAAAAGCAGATCGGGGCACGACCGTCCACACTTGGCATCGGGGCAAAGAGAAGTAAAGGTCCGCCCCCCCCACCCCCTTGGGAGTGCTGAAACCAGCGCTCCGCCTGAGACCTCATCAGAAACGGTTCCGAAAACAAGAGATGTTGGGCACCGAAGTTAGCAAACCGCCTCAGACATCCCCACAATCTGGGCGCGAAGCCTGAAGTGTCCTGACCCCTATCGCCCCCCCGTTGGGAGTGCTGAAACTAGCGCATCGCTTGAGACATCTTCAAAAACGGTTCCGAAAAGAAGAGATGTTGTGCACCGAAACGGGCAGCCCGCCTGAGACATCCCCGCAATCTGGGCGCGAATTCTGGAGTGTCCTGACCCCGGGCGCCCCCCTTCGGGAGTGCTGAAAACAGCGTTTCGCTTGATACATCCGAAAGCAAGAGGTACTGGGCACCGAAACGGGCAAACCGCTTGAGACAATCCCGTAATCTGGGCGCGAAGCCTGGAGTGTCCTGACCCCTGTCGCCCCTTGGGAGTGCTGAAACCAGCGCCTCGCTTGAGACATCGTCAGAAACGGTTCCGAAAACAAGAGATGTTGCGCACCGACACAAGCAAACCGCCTAAGACATCCCCGCAATCTGGGCGCGAATCCTGGAGTGTCCTGACCCCTGTCGCCCCCCTTGGGAGTGCTGAAACTAGCGCCTCGCCCGAGACATCCGAAAGTAAGAGATGTTGTGCACCGACCCAGGCAAACCGCCTGAGACATCCCCGCAATCTGGTCGCGAATCCTGGAATGTTCTGACCCCTGCCGCCCCTCTTGGGAGTGCTGAAACCAGCGCCTCGCCCGAGACATCCTCAGAAACTTTTCCGGAAGCAAGAGATGTTGGGCACCGAAGCAAGCAAATCGCCTGAGACATCCCCACAATCTGGGCGCGAATCTTGGAGTGCCCTGACCCCTGGCTCCTCCTCTCTCCTTCTCCTCCTCCTCCTCCTCCTCCTCCTCCTCCTCCTCCTCCTCCTCCTCCTCCCTCCTCTTTCTCATCCTCCTCCTCCTCCTCCTCCTCCTCCTCCTCCTCTTCCTCCTCCTCCTCCTCCTCCTCCTCCTCCTCCTCCTCCTCCTCCTCCTCCTCCTCCTCCCCCTCTGAGGGACGAGTTTCTCAGTCTTGTCGAAGTCATCGTGCCCCGTGTTCGTCTTGCGATCCCATGTCCGGTGGCGAAGCATCTCCTCTGCCGCTTCGCACCGTGGGCAGAGTTGCGTGCTGACCGCGTGCCTTGCTTCCTTGTTTCTTGTACGTGCCCGCTGACCACCCGCAACCACCACCAAGTTGAGGGCAACAGCACTGATATGTCCGTCTCGCTGCAAGCACCGTTGATATCGCCGCGTACGCCACACCTCAGCCCCAGCTTGAAGCCCGTCTCCATCTTCATGCCTGGCGGCCTGCTGCCAGTAAAGCCTCTGAATGTTGCTGCTGGTGTCTCCGAGTACGGCCATGAGCTCCCAGTCCTGGGTGTAGTCGTCATCGTTGCTGTTGGGCATGAGCCATGCTTGTTTTTGTCTATCAGGTAGTGGCCGTGCTCATTCCGTGGCCTTCAGTGGTATCCAACCGATGTCCATGCGTCGCTTTGATCGTGGCACTTGGTCCTTTGACATATGACCATCTGCGCGTCCCCATTTTGATGAGTTGGACCCTGATCTTGCCCCAAGCGAGCTTGTCCCGCTGGTGCAGCTGATGATTCAATTTCAAAAGGGAGAGCCATCCATTACCACTTGGTTCCGCAACTCGTGGCCTGACTTCTTGTTCCACATCTCGACTGCCAACGCCGTCGTCAAACATGTGCCACCTTGACGTTTGGCTGCGAGCTGACCAGCTAGTCGACGTTGTAGGAGTTGACGTTGAGAAGGAGTCAGGCCGAAGGCTTGGTGACCGTAATGAGAATTGTGGTAGGGGCTCTGTGGTCCGCAAGCCATCGGATTCCTCAGCCAAGGTCGCTGATCGATGTAGTTTCTTGATGCGTGCGGACCGTTCCTTGGCCCTTGGCCTTCTTGAGCCGCTTCTTCAAGGTCTTCACTACCTGCTTCCGTCCTACACCAGCGTCGATGCCGAGGTCCTTTGTATCGTGTGCTGCCTGGGCCGATACTCCCGGCCGTCGCAGGGTCCTCGCCGTGGTCTTGATCATGTCCTTCGACGTGTCTGAGATCTTCGGTCGCTGCCCGCGTATACGATGGGGGTGTTGGTTAAGGAATGTGCCCAGGAGGCTTCAGACCCTTGGGGGTTCCTTGTCTCGTGAGGGCCGC